ATGTATGAACGAAACTGTGGAAATTTAAAGCCCCTCTGCTGGAAATAACAGTATAAATAACTGAAGACATTTTGTAAACAGTGCGGTCATAACCTTGAAACGTTAAACAGTTCTCTGGGATCTGGCGCATCAGCTGCCTCTAGACTGAGCTGCCTCAGAGGAAAGAGCCCAGCACTTTCTGTTTATCTCTTCGCTTAATCTCTCACAGAGTAACAGATCAGATCAATAGAAAGAATGATGTTTAAATTAAAGCCAGGGCACCATGAGAGTGTACAAGGCAAGAGTATCTTCCCATCCAAATTATTCCATCAGTATTATTTAATTTTCCTTAAAATACTTGCCTGTAGGGATGTGGTGGCTCAGTGTCTAAGACACTGAGCTTGTCAAGCAGAAAGGTTGGCAGTTCAGCGGTTCGAATCCCTAGCGCCATGTAATGGAGTGAGCTCCCATTACTTGTCCCAGCTTCTGCCAACCTAGCAGTTCAAAAGCATGTAAAAATGAAAGTAGAAAAATAGGGACCACTTTTGTGGGAAGGTAATAGCGTTCCGTGCGCCTTTGGCGTTTAGTCATGCCAGCCACGACGTCTTTGGACAGCACTGGGTCTTCAGCTTTGTAACAGAGATGAGTACCGATCACTAGAACCAGAAATGGCTAGCACATATGTGTGAGGGGAACCTTTACCTTTAAAATACTCGCCTGGGTCCACCATCTTACTTGTTGGGAGGCTCTGGAGGGTTGATGAAAAGAGGAATTCTCTTTGCAACAAGACTGTTTTCAAAGTTAGGTACCCTATACTAAAGAAAGGAACTTATTTGAAAATATTCTTTTATCTTCCAGTAATATAAATTATTGATGATTAATAACAAATTCCAGGCAATTTGTTATCCAAATAGGGATGAGCAGTTAAAGATTATCCTATCCTATGCCAAAGTATAATGTACACGCATAACAAGTGCTTCCATAATACTTCCATACTACTATATAAAATGTATACAGTGGGCCTGGGGAACACGGAGCAGGATGGAGCCCATTAAATGGCTCATATGATGTGTTATTGCCGTGGCGGGGTGGGTGGGGGGTGGAGGGTTATTTTATTTTATTATATATGATTCTTTTATTAGTTTTATTGTTTTTATATGCTTTTATATTTTTGTCAGCCTTGAGTTGCCATGTGTGAATAGGTGGCAATATAAATCACATAAATACATAACATACATACATTTAGCATACATGTAGCCTTGCACCATCCAATCGATAAAACATTTGGAAATATGGCAAACCTTATAATTTTATTCGTTCCAGCAGATGACAAGCTGAGACACCACTGTGACTAAATGCAAAGGCACCAGATGTTCTCATTATAAAGTTCACCAATCCACAAATTGGAGAGATAAAAGTTTGTAGTAGGAACTTGGTTTGTAATGTTCCATGGTTTGTACGGCTGCATGTACATGTGCATGTGGAGATTGTCAATATAGCCCAGCCAGCCCAAATTAGATGGTTAACAAAGACAATACATTATTTTTAGTAAAACAGAAGTGTGGACTTCCCTTCAGTTTAAACAATGTAGACCTGTAAAGAGGTAACGCTTAAACTTGTGGTCCTACAAAGAAATAATCTTCCCTTGACTGCTTGGTTAAACCAGATAAATATAAAGGTAGTTTCATCTAAAGAGTATTCTGATTTACCAAGAAATCATATTTGTAAAATACAGACTAGAAATAAAAATTAAAATAAGCAAGAAAATGGTAAGTCAACACCTGTCTGACTTTGATGAATATAAATCATCAGGACCTGATGGATTACATCCCAGAGTTCTGAAGGAACTGGCAGGTGTTCTCTTAGAACCATTGTATCATATCTTTAAAAAATCTTGAAGCACTGGGGAAGTACCAGAGATTGGAAAAGAACTGATGTGGTTCCTATCTTCAAAAAAGGAGGGGAAAAAAAACAGATCCAGGAAACTACAGACCAATTAGTCTAACATCAATATCCGGGAAGACACTGGAAAATATAATCAAAAAATAATGTGTGAACATCTAGAAACAAAGTTATAACTAGCAGCCAGCATGGGTTTGTTAGAAACAGATCATGCATAACCAATCTTATTTCATTCTTTGACAAAGTGACTAAATTAGTAGCCCAGCAAAATGCTGTGGATATAGTATATTTAGACTTCAGGAAGGCATTTGACAAAGTAGACCACAATCTACTTTTTGATAAGCTAGAAAAATGTGGGATAGACAGCATCATCACCAGATGGATTTGTAACTGGCTGACAAACCGTACTTAACAAATAGTCCTTAATGGTACTACATCTACATGGAAGTAAGCAATGGGGTACCACAAGGTTCTGTCTTAGGCCCAGTACTCTTCCATATCTTCATAAATGACTTAGATGAGGGTATAGGAGAACTCATCTGGCTGGCAAGAATAGTCAACACCCCAGAAGACAAGCTTACGATCCAAAAAGATCTTGACAGACTTGAACAATGGGCTCTATCCAACAAAATGAAATTTAATGTGGAGAAAAGCAAGATTTTACACTTGGTCAGGAAAAACCAAAGGTTCAAGTACAGATTAGGCAAAACCTGGCTCAAAAACAGTAACTGAGAGGGACTTTGGAGTCCTAGTGGATGATCACTAAAATATGAGTCAACAGTGTGTGGCAGCAGACAAAAAATCTGCAATCCTTGGTTGTATAAACATGAGGCATAGAATCAAAATCATGTGGTGTATATTAGTACCGATTTATAAAGCCTTAGTAAAACCACACCCGGAATACGGCATCCAATTTTGGTCACTTTACAAAAAAGATATTGAAAATTTTGAAAAAGTGCAAAGAAGAGCAAGATGATTAAAGACCCGAAGACTAAAACATATGAAGAATGGTTGTAGGATTTGGGTTTGGCTAGTCTAGATAAAAAAAGACGGGGGGGGGGGGGGACACACGACAGCAGTATTCCAGTATTTGAGAGATTGCCACAAAGAGGAGAGGGTCAGGACAAGAAACAATGTGAAAACTAATCAAGGAAAAAAGCAACCTGGAATTGAGGATAAACTTCCTAACAGTGAGGACAATTAACCAGTGGAACAGCTTTGCCCTCAGAAGTTGTGGGTGCTTCATCACTAAAGGTTTTTAAGAAGAGACTGGACAGTCACTTGTCTGAAATGATATAGGATCTTCTCCTTGAGCAGGGCACTGGACTGAAAGACCTCTAAGGTCCCTTTCAGCTTAGTTTTGATTCCGATTCATTTCTGGATATATAAAGGTTTAATTGATATTGAAGATAAAGGTGGTGTCATTTAAAGAGTATTCTGAGTTACCAAGAAATCACTTCTGGGTTTCTTAATAAGCATAGGATATTGAAGACAATGTGTTACCTATCTTTATGAAATCATTATTTAATTAACATTATATATTTATTCAATTTTTATAGCTGTCCAACTCAACCAAGTGATTGCCCCCAACACTGCTGTTGGTAGCTTGGGTCTGCCTATCTCTCTAATACTATATTACTATATTAGAGTGTTTGACAAAAAAGGAATGAAAAAACCTTAAAGCAAAATATTTCAGCTTTTGCTTTATTTGGTTATTTTGAAAGGATATGGACAACAGTCTGAATGGCAGAACAAAGCAAAAGTTCAAATGTTTTACTGTGAAATTATTTACATTTTTGCTCTCATCTAATTCATATATAATTTAAATTATTAACTGCATCCTTGTGAGATTCAGAAAAAAAATTGTTTGATCTGCTTGATACTTTTCAAATAATTCCTTTCTACACAATTTTTAGTTTTACAAAAAAGCAACTTGAATTATATACAGATCTTCAAGCTGCTTAGCTAAAAACAAATATGATGGGATGTAATCTGGAAGTATTTTTTTCTCTGCTATTTAGGGATGTATAATTTAGAGCTGATGCTAATTTCCAAATAGTTATTTAGGATTATCATATAAATCCCTTGGAAAAAAATGAAGTTAACAGGAAAATGCTCTGAACTTATCTGGGATTTATTTCAAAGTATAAATCAAATCACTTTAATCCTTCAAACACCCTGCTTCAAATTTATTCTATTGAAAAAAATTGTACCTACCTTCATTCAGCATTTTTCTGTTTTCAGCCTTACATTGGCAGTGTTTAGAAAAGACACATTCCATGCTAACGCTTAATTAGTATGACTTGTAAAAAATTATATAAACTTAGATTGTTTGGTGTGCAAAGACAATATAAAACTCTCTGCTTTCCATCCTTATCTTCTTTGCAAACAACTCATTCTAAATTAAGACAGGAATAGTAATGACAATGCAAATGTATGGATTGAGCTACAAATTTGCATTAAACTTTGTTGTTAATTTCACAATGTCCCTAATTCTTAGTTAAATTATTGGAAATGTGACAAATAGGTTCCTTCCTTCCTTTTTGAGTGAGACAGCCATTGCATGCTGTTTTTCTAGCCATTTAAACCTCCTCCAAAGGATACGGTCTACCTCTTCTTAATTAGGAAAATAAACATTTCATAATCTGAGGTCAATGGTTTTTGCATTGTGTCACTTTAAGATTTGTAAAATCTGCTCACCCAAAATAAAATAAATAGTAATCCTTTCTCTTTTCTTTGAAAACAAACAAAAAACCCTGCACCACAGTGCACTATTTTTGTTTTGTTGAGAACTTTTAAAAAAATATTACACAAATTATAGCAAAATTTGTTTGAAGAAAATATATTCATAGAATATCTTTAATGTGTATTCTTTTTAGAGATGTGATTTCAGAATTGATTCTAGGAATCGCCGTCTTTCACAAAGTGGAGTACACAAAGATAGAAAGTTGCAAATTTTGGTTGGATCCAGAGAACAGCACTTGGACCAGCAAGGTGTTGCTGCAGGATACTCAATATATATATATATGTGTGTGTATATATATATATATATATATACATATACAAGTTAATAAAGTTAAATATATGTTCTTTGTGATTGTTTCATTATCCTTTGGCATAGTACATTTGGTCTTCTTTTCAGTTTTAGGATTTGTTTGTTCCATGAGAAAACAGTTTGTTGCCTCCTTGAAAGGCTTCCCCCACAAGTCCGTATACACAATGCACAAATGCATTCATCCAGAGGTGCTTTTCTCATGCTTGAAAATCCTGGGTCAGGAGGCAGTAGGGCCACACAACCGAGTTGTGTTCACTGCTTCTTTCAGCTCATTCTCTGGTTTGCCAGCAATCATAAAAGGCCATGTCTGTAGCCAAGGAGCAAAAAGGGGTGGGGGGTGGGGGCAATGGAGAGGAAGAAAAAGAAAGGGCGAGGAAAGGAAGAGAGAGAATGAGAAATCAGTGCAGTTCTTGAACTGTAATAAACAAAGCCATAGACAACCCAGGTGTTCTTTCCAAACAATGGGAAGAAGTGGTTAGGCTAGACAAGTCTCAGCTGCTGAGCGTAACTAGGTTCGTAAGATGGCTCCACTGTATTGCCCCATGCAACTGCAGTCATAATATGTTTTGCGCCACAAAAAATGTTTTTTACTCTTTATGTTCCTCATAATTCTTAGAAATCTTTGAGGGTGAAAGGTCATGCTTTATTGGTTCTAGATACCAGCATTGGTTACAGTTGATAGAAATGATATTTCTCTCAAATATATGTATGTATGTATGTATGTATGTATGTATGTATGTATGTATGTATGTTATATATGTATATGTATATATAATGAATGCAACCCAAAAAGGCATATTGGGGCAGACATCTTTTTTTTAAGCCCCTGTCTATTCTTGACTGGGTAATGTCAAAGCACGGCTCCCCCTTCACTTTTGCTTTGTTTTGAAAAAGATAAGAGTACTATCTTCCCTAAAAGCATTTTAGAGTTGGAGGTGGGGGTTTCTTCTTGACTGTATGCTTTGGTTTGCAACTGCCAAAGTTCTGCTGAGGTCAGAAACTTCATAAGGAAAGTATAATTCTAGAACAGTAAAATTACAATTCCATCCATTTCTTGTGGGAAACAAAGACAATAGCTACAAATCACCTTTTTTTAAAAATGTCATGAATGCAAACTCGCTAGTAAAATAAAATCTGTATGTATGTACTACGGTGGCAGGAAATATTCATTGTCATGCTATTGTAGTAACTAATCTCAGTGTCTTTTTAAAATGAAGTAAGCATATGCATGCAATACTGATATCAGCAAAAACAACAAGGTCAACCATATCTCACCCCTTCTCCCAAATCCATCAGTCAAAGTAGTTTGGGATTCTGAGTTTGTTTTGCTTTCAGTAACTTTTTTATATGTTTACTGTTGCTAGCCATAGAGTAATAAATAAAGCCTCAGCCCTTTATTATGAACTAATTAACCATGAATACGAGTATGAAATTAACACAAGTATGAAAATAATTGTTTTACATATAGGACCACAATAAAAGTAAACTATCAATGAGATAAATTAGAAAACACAGGGAAGGAATATAATGTCCTTTCCAATAAGGAAGGTTCAATCCTGAATGGATTTTTTTAACCGAATTTCCTCCATCTAGAAACGTTTACGTTCGTTTCAGCCATAAACGGGCGCTAAAACGTTTCCCTCTTTATAATTAACTCAGTTGCTAGAAATAACGGGGCCTCCAAATATCCGAATCGTTATCTATATTTTTTTCTCTTATCCCAGCTCGCATCTACTAAAGAGGCCGGAGAAGCTTAGAAGTATTCGAAGCCACTTCCTAATAGCCCCGTCCGTCTTCTTTCTTCGTCCTTCGTGACCTACAAACGGATTGTGGCCCCCTTCGTGACGGAAGTCGAGAAGGTGGTTGTAAATTTGAAGGTGTGCGGTCCACATACACACAGACCCTTCCAGTTCCGAAAAACCCATAATTTACGGGGGGGGAGGGGGGGGAAGGGAAGGATCCTGACGACGGGGCGTGCGAAAAGAGACACGGGGGAAGAAAAGAGGCTTTTCGTTAAAAAATTCCATTGTTGTTATTCGGTTTTTCGGAAAAGCGGTTCGGATGGCGATTTAAATAGCGCTAACGGTCGCAGTCGTTCGCGGTTCCGATAGTACTACTCGTAATAATCTCCAGCCCTCGGCAGATAAAACGCGCCGAAATCAGATCCCGCCGACTGCCGCCGTTAAATCAATAAATCGAGCTATTTTTCCCCTCCCTTATTCTGATCAATTAGTGGACTTGGTGAGCGAAGGTTATTGCGAAGCGGCCGGGTGGGCTGAAAGAGTTCTGTGGCGCAACCCGATTAAGAGGACGGTTAAAAAAATGGGGGGGGGGGGGGGGTTTCCTTTATAAATATTATTATTATTATTATTATTATTATTATTATTATTATTATTATTATTATTATTATTATTATTATTATTATTATTATTTATTATTATTATTATTTATTATTATTATTAATTATTAATTATGCCCGTCACTCCCTGCGCCTTTTCGTCACCGCTCGGGACAAACAGACCGCCGAGTCGTCGAAGGGCGCGGAGAAGTGCCGAGCGCGCCAAGCCGGCGAGGACTTTTTGCCCCCGTCCTCCACAGCTCACACAGTTGCTTCAGACGACTTCGGAGACAGACTTCCCCGCGAGACGGGCAGGCTGGAGGATTGGGGGGCGGTTGGGGGGGGGGGTGGAGGACGGGCGAAGCGAAAGGGAGCTGAGGGCGCCGGGAAGGCGCGGAGCCAGGTGCGAGCGTCGCGGTGCGCGTGTCCTTTCAGCCGCCGCCTCCCCCCCCCCGCCCCCGGCAGCGCGTTTCCCGCCTCCCGAGAGCCCCACTCACCAAATTGACGGGGTGAAGGTAGCCGTTCTCGTACTTGTCGCTGGCCAGGATCTGCCTCAGGTGGGCGATGTAGCTGGAGGCCAGGCGGAGCGTGTCGAGCTTGGAGAGTTTGGTGTCCGGAGGCACCCAGGGCAGGGTGGTCTTGAGGCGGGAGAAGGCTTTGCTCAGCACCCGCATGCGAGCCCGCTCGCGGGCGTTGGCCGCGTTCCGCTGGACCTGCTTGCCCTCCTGGCCCGCCGTTCCCGGAGGGCTCTTCTTGCCCGGCGTTTTCTTACGTGCCTTGCCCGCCGCCGCGCCCCGGCCTTTGCCCGGGGAGCCCCGCTCGCCGGTCGAGCCTTCGGCGGGGCTCTGACGTGGAGCGGACGGCGAACGGCAGCGGTCCATTTTCAGGCTGCCGGAGCAGCCCAGTATCTCCGCCTCGGGAAGGTCTTCGGCATCGCTCAGCGAGCCCGTGGACATGGCCTCGGGCCGGGGGGCAGGAAAAGGGAGCCCGCCGCCTGGGGACCCCCGCTCAGCCTTCTTCGCCTGACTCGGCGAGGGCGAGAGGGAAGAAGAAGCGCAAGTTGATGCTGAGCGCCCGGGAGGCATTTATCCGGGGGGTGGTGGGGGTGATGAATAGGCGGTCCGGGGCAGCCCGTGGGAGGGGCTTTTCTCCGAAGGGTCGCCGCGCTGCGTGGACTGCTTGCACTCACCCCGGGTCAGTCGGGGGAGAGGCCAGTCCAGGATCTGGGCTTTCCTTGAAACGGGGAGATCTGTCTTCTTTATTTTCTTTTTCTTTCTTCCGTCCAGATGTAGCTGCTTCCCCTTTTGCTGCTGAGCCCTTTAGACCAGGAGTCTCCACCCTTGGCAACTTTAAGCCTGGAGGACTTCAACTCCCAAATTCCCCAGACAGCAAAGCTGGGAGTCGAAGTCCACCAGGCTTAAAAGTTGCCAAGGTTGGAGACCCCTGCTCTAGACTAGGATGCCTCCAGAGATGGGCCTCCTTCCCTGGATTCGTCCCAGAGCTTGCTTAGGAACCTCTGGGATATCCCTGCTCAGATGACACAGTGGGATTTGCTTTTCCTAGTTGTTCAATACTAGGCCTTGTCTTCCTTCCTTCCTTCCTAACTCACTCATTCACATTATTGTCTTCCTCCTTTCCTCCCTCCCTTCTTTCCGATTGCTATTACTGATGATATTTCTCCTGTGAAGTCTTAAATGCTGGCTCATTTTTTTTTCAAGAATTGCAGAAATCTAGGCATTTACTCCTGAATTCCTGGAATATGAATGGGCTGACCAATGACGTCTGTGTCTGAGACCTCTCAGTTATTGATGGAGCTGACGTAGCTTAAGCCTGTCAGAATTTATATACATTCATCCCATCAGGCTGGACTCTGTTAGGCAAAGGAGGGCAGCCATCTCAGCAGCTGATTCTGGCTGTTATGAAAAGGCAGCAAGCTGCTATTTAATTTGTTGTTTATTGTGTCTTTACTGCCAAGGTTGGGAAGAGGTGCTTATTGGATTTTCTGCCATATGTGAGAATAATTTGTTTTAGGATATAGTAGTTTGTGTTTTTTTTGTTTTTTTTTTTTGCTTTTGATGCCTTTGAGTCAGTATTAACTTCTGATGACTGGGCAAATCCCTGCAGTTTTCTGGGAAAGGATTTGAAAGTGGTTTGCCATTTCCTGCTTCTTGTGGGAATGCTGTAGATGTAATATATCTTGATTCTAGAAAACCCATGGCATTCAGTTTAGCATTGCAGTTGAGTAGGGGGTTGAACAGCATGGCAATTAAGTAGATATCAAAGGAGCTGAAACACTGTATTCAGAGTGTTCATCAATGGTTAAATGTCTATGGAATTCTCAGTCATCCAGGGTCATAGTTGTCATGGCAAAACATCTTCAAGATAAAACACAAGAGAAAAACTGGACACAGAAAGTCCAGTTGCCTTTGTAGAAAGCATCTTCGGACACTCATCAATGGTTCCTTATCAACCTGAATCAAGATATCAAATGGGCTGCTACCAGGTTCCGACTCAGAGCCTGTTTTCTTCAATTTTATTAATTAATGACTTCAATTTTATTAATTGAAGAAGTGAATAGAATGTTATGGATCATCAGCTATTTTAGATCTGATAGAACTATGTTTTGTTTTTTGTATGCTCTTATTTTCCCAGTAAACTTTTCTTTTTAAGTTTTGGTTAAGATCTATACTTTGAAGTCAAGAGATCTGAATTCTGTTCATTTCTGGTATCACAGTAAATGTATGTTATAAAAATATATCTTAATTGTGAGCCACTTTCTATTATTCTGTGCACAAGATCTCCCTAGGGAGAGCATTGCAGTAAAGAAGCTCAGTTCAATATATTGTCTGTACAGTGTGCACATGCTCCCTCTCCTCAGATCATTTGTAACATCACAATAATGTATATTTGTTGTTGAATCAAATTATTAAAATATTTGAAAAAGTGGCTGTGACTTGTTTTGACTAGTTTTGACTAGTTAGAACAATTAATCAGTGGAACAACTAGCTTCCAGAAGTTGTGAATGCTCCAACAATGGAAATTTTAAAGAAGAAATTAGACAACCATTTGTCTGAAAAGGTATAGGGTTTCCTGCCTGAACTGGTGGTTGGACCTCAAAGGTCCCTTCCAAATCTATTATTCTGAGACTATTTCTTACATAGCCATGTTTTATTTGCATCTTGTTCAATTACTCTTTATTCCTATATCTGTTCTTGGTAAATATCTTAGTCTGGACTTTAGAGGATCTAGCCTGAATTTCATCAATGGACCAGCTGAATCTGTAGAACTGTTTATTTCCCAATGAGGATCTTGATTCACTTGAAGAGGAGATCAAATGGCAAGATGGTGCCCCAATATGCCACAACATGAATTCCAAAGCATTTTCAATCTCAGTATAAACTTCAGTTGTACATCCTCTCCAATAATTAAAAGAGTGCAAAGTACATATTTAGAAATATTGATCAAGATTTTCACCTCTTGGTAAAAAGTTCGTAATTGGCAGTTTTTCTGTATAGCCAACCCTGTTAACAAATAGCAAATACAAGTGAATTAACATGATTTATTATAAGAAATCAGTACAATATTTTTATGCACTGTGAAATATTGCAATAATTCTGTAGGAACTTTTTAAGTAAATATATATAATGAAGTGTACGTGGCATTAAAATTACAATATCCTTCATTAAGATAATATATAATAATATAAAATAGCATTAGTACCATCACTGTACCTATAATAGAATAATATAGTGTACAATACACTATAATAGAAAATGTTACATTTACATATGTTTTGTAAGCTTTTATCTAAAATACAATTTCCCAAGTTCAGTGGGAGCTAGTTCAGGGTTGATATATGTAGGACTGAATTCTACTGTTATTTAAATACTTGATTCTATACATCCTCTGTCATAACCTTCCCCAATCTAGTATACACAGATAAATTTAACTACAAAATTCAAAATTTCCAGTCACTTAGGTTTGGGCTATGGTATCTGGGATCAATGGAGTTTAATACATTTGGAGGATATCAGGTTTGGGAAGGTAATTCTAAAATTTTATAACATGTAAATACAGAATTCTGAGAGGCCTAATAATTCAAAAAATGCAGAAGGATTTTAGAATGCTGTTGACTTTTCAGAACAGGAATATCTAGCCTGAGATTGCAGGGTTACATATGGCTCCCAAAGCAGCTTTGAATGTCCATCCAAAATTGCTAGAAATTTAGTTACTTGTAAAGAGTTATTTTTGAATATAACCAAAATGGAAATATATTAAACATACAGGAATGGCATCAATTATATTTAATTTAACCTATATGTAAAATTTGATCTATAGTAGATTATATTTTGTCCTAGCTCTACTTCTTTATGCTTGCAAAAGCCTGAATTAGACTCTATTCTGTGACACACCAACCGATACTTGTATAGGCTTTGACAGCTGATATCTTAACGGGCAATTTTGAGTTTCAGGGTTTAATGTTCATGGTCTAAACAACAGATTCCCTGATGTTTCACTAGCAACTCTGGCTGGCATCTTCAAAAGCACTGTGGTCTTCTGTGAAGCTCACAAAATTGAGCAAGGACTGACTGGGGCTCCTGTCCTTATAGCTGGGTGACCTGACTTCTGATTGTTTGCAGGGATGATAAATCCGGGCTCCAACACTGAGCTGGAATGCAGACAATTTCCTCTTAAGTCAGACAATCTGAATTTCACCCAAATTGTGATGTACCCCTGGGTTTTTCCTTTATCTTCTGCCTGTTCTTCAGTGAAGGCAATGTACAAATTGGAAAGTGCCTAGGAAGTGACACAATGCCAGATTCGGGACCAAAGGACTATCCTAAAAGCTCTTGTTTTTCAGAAAGAAAATGGACTAACCCCAAAGGAAAGATCAATGATCCAGGATGAAGTCCAACTTCATTGGAGAAAATGGCTGTTTGGAACTCTCCGAGGTTCTGCAACTCCAGCATCTTGAATCTGGCTCAGTAAACTACCAGTTGGTGTCCATTATGCCCTGTAGGCTCCTGTTTTTACATTTTAAAAATCCTCCTTTCTTATTTGTATAAGTAACCCAAGGCGGCAAACATACCCAATAGTCTCCTCTCCTATTTTCCCCACAACAATAACCCTATGAGGTGAATTGGGCTGAGAGAGAGAGCAAGTGACTGGCCCAAAGTCACCCAGCTGGTTTTCATGCCAGGACTAAGCAGGACTAGATTATCTAATTTAAAATATTATGCCAAATAAGCATGATTTAAATGGCTCAATTATGAGAACCCCAAGTTAAGTGACACAATGCCAGATTCAGGACCAAAGGACTATCCTAAAAACTCTTTTTTTTTTTTCAGAAAGAAAAGCCTGTTTTTCAGGCTTTTGCAAGCATAAAGAAGTAGAGCTAGGACAAAATATAAACTACTATAGATTAAATTTTACATATAGGTTAAATTAAATATAATTGATGCCATTCCTGTATGTTTAATATATTTCCATTTTGGTTATATTCAAAAATCACACATTGAAACACATCAACTTGATTGAGAGTGAATATGGAGATGTTTGTAACTAATACTGCATTTCATTAAGCTTTACATGGACTCATTGTTTTCATTTATCTTGGAATTGGCTACTTTACAGACTACTCCCCCAATCCAATATCCATCAGATATGCTGAATTCAAATCCCATCAGCTGATGTGATCTTTGGGAGGGCTGCAGGTGAATTCTACCTCAATAGTTCCAAAGAATCTTGGAATGTCATTTTGCCCTTTTACACTCCAAAATGGCTTTCCATTTTATTAAGGATGTTTAGAGTAACTTTCTTCAGGAACCCAAGTTATAAATGGGAATTATGAGAGCTATATTTCCACCACAACTGGAAGGCAGCAGATTCCCGTCTTTTTCAAATCAAAGATGCACTTGGATAAGTGTTACAACATTCATATTAGAAAAAAAAAGAGATAATTTTCTGAGTGATTCTTACAGAAAGTTCTATGAAGAATCTTAAAACTGCAGTACTTAACAGCATGTTATGAATGACCAAATGATCCAGTCATATCCACTGCAGATATATTTCTTCAAGTGATATTAATTGGAAGAGGCCAAACCAAGAGCAACTAATTTCCAGCAAGGGATGAAAATAGAGTGGTAGACATATTTACAACTTAAGATGAGGTATAAAAAAGACATAGAAGATTTGGAATTGAGGTAAAACCGAACCAATTAGACAAAATATTAGAGGGAACGGATGAAAAACTAATTTCTAAAATGTACGATTACCTATTAGAATTTGAAATGGCAGAAGAAATAGTTAAAGGCCCAATGATTGCATGGGCAAGGAATGTAGGGCACAACATTAATTTGGAAGATTGAGAAAAAGTCTGGAAACAAAATTACAAAATAACAAAATCAGTTGTCTATAAAGAAAACCAATATAAAATGTGTTACCAGTGGTATTTGGCATCCTCAAGGTTAGCAAACATGTATCAAAACTCAAGTCCGACTTGCTGGAAATGTAAGCAAACGAGGAGTACCTTCTTTCACGCTTGGTGGCTTTGCCCAAAAAGTAAAAAGTACTGGAAAAAAATTAGAATTTGGATAAAGGAAATCACAAATATACAACTAGAATTTAAGGCTGAAATATTTTTGTTGGGAATGTTACAAGGGGACTATGCCAGAGGTGGTATTCAGCAGGTTCTGACCAGTTCTGGAGAACCAGTAGCAGAAATTTTGAGTAGTTCAGAGAACTGGCAAATACCACCTCTGACTGGAGATTTTACAGTATCCTTCCCCTGCCAGGCACACCAAGCCACGGCCACAGAACCAGTAGTAAAATTATTTTGAATCCCATCACTGGACTATGCAAAAGAAATGAAATATTTAATTCTCCATATAATTACGGCAGCAAGAATTTCGTTAGCTCAATGCTGGAAGGGTGATCAAATGCCAACAAATTATTTGATAATTCAGAAGGTTCTTGACTGCGCTGAAATGGACTTACTAACCCAAAAACTTAGGGATAAGGTAGACTCAAAATATAGTACAGCTTGGGAAAAATAGTACAATTGGATCAGGAAGAAAAACCAGGGAATTAAAAGATAAGGATTTGGAAAATGAAGTGGTTAGATTAAGAGCATTTACCAAAAATAGGGAATGAATATTAGTAAAATTGTTTTCAGTAAAAGATCACACCGTCTTAGCTGATTAGAAATATATATGTTTTATGTTAAATGTTATATATTTGTATACTGATTTCAAAATGTTGTATTCTATACATTGTATATACAGTATATCTTTTTAATCTTTAATAAAGTTTATTTTATATTTAAAAAAGCAACTAATTTTCACACAGACAAGTAGGGAGACAACATCTTATGACGTTTATGCCAGGTTTAAACTTATATATGTTTATATATAAAAGTAAACTCATATTTGTCTTTTGCTCCAAGGGAGGTTATAAAGTAAAGTGGCCTTGTTAGAAGGGCTAACATTACTATTGAGAGTTGTCACATGTGGCTGCCAGTGAATGAGGTTATTGCTTGCTGTATGGATCTGTCATGCTCATTTGGGTTTAAAATGAGGCCTCATAACCTGTTCTTAGGGGGGAAAGACACACCATGACAATTGAATTTGATGGTGCCAACATTCAGTTCCATTTAACTTATAATAGAGTGGTTCAACCCTAATTTAATCCTGGAAAAGGATCACTTCATAATGATCGTGCTCCACAATTAAAAACAAAACAAAAAACATCTTAGTATATGTATACGTATATGTGTGTACACACATACACACATATCTATATCTATCTATCAAACTCTCTATATATATACGTACACACACACACACACACACACACACACATATACACACACGTATGTATGTCAAGGAATTAAATAGAACTATCTATTGCTACCGGTATTTATATGCAAAGTAATAGATACAACCATGGTGTAGAATAGGAGGAGCATAATTAGAGTACATCAATTTAAACACTGCTTCATCTAGGACTTCAGTACCCTTACTTTTATGTAAGCTAACACTGGGTTAGTATTGTTTTTAATGAACTATTAACTAAACACATTGTCAGCTTAATTGATTATTGTACCTAGTTGTTTTAGACATGCATTCTTACCGATTTCAAAAATTACTCATCAACAAGTCTGAGATTTATGGCCTTTTTTGTTTTATGTTCCTGATCATTGTTTGTGCAGGTGGATCCCTACATGGTTGGTTTCCCCAGCCATGATTTATTGCTCAAGTGATTGATACTATAAACTTCTCCCAGGATTCTTTTCCAGCTTTAAGATAAGAGAAATATCAAATTGAAGTTGTTCATATAAAAAAAAATCCAGACAACTGAAATTGTGCACAAAATTAGTTAGAACTTAGACAGTACAAAATTAAGAGAAAATGGACTCACTGAGGTTCAGGGGCAGATATTTCTGAGCTGAACTCAAGGTATATCAGAATCTTGATTAGATACAAGAATAAGCAAATACGTTTTCTTACTTCCCTTACTTTTGTGATGCTCAAGCAAAAGAAGGGGAAGATAATTGAAGAAGCCAAACTTTTGGGTGGCAGAGTCCCAACTTTTTCCACTGAGAACAGTTCCTACAACAGCTAAAGTAGTCAAATATAGAGAAATCAACTGAGGTAGTGCATGGCTATCCCAATCTTGCTGTAAGTGTGCGTTGAGTATTGCTTAGATCAGCCCTTTGTGGGTCCATGGACCAGTAATGGTGGTGGCAGTGGCGACAGCGGGGTGTGGGGAGCAATGGTTGCACATATGCAATCTAATCCCACACCTGCACAAATAAAACGGCGCACTTGCCCACTGCTTGCATGGACTGGTTCCCAATGGACTCTGGATTGGTACTAGTCTATGGACTGGGATTGGAGATGCCTGGCTTAGATTGATTATACCATTTGTTTGGAAACCAAACCTACCAAACCCAACACTTATGAGTATAATAATAAATAGTATCTTATATGTAGAAAGTTTGTAATTTAGTTCAGACCCTCTGGTAAATAGATGTTTTTCAAGTTCTGTCAACAGGCAGAATTTTAAAGAAATTCAACAATCTTCACTAATTTGCAATTCTGATACATACGTACATACATACATACATACAATGTTTAAACTAATTGTTTAAATATATACTGCTCTTTTAGAACAGCATTGACAACCTTTCTTAGTCTGTAGCAGGTTTATTTTTTTCTATTTGGCATCTTTGGAATGAATTGTTTTCTATTTAAAAATTTCATATTTTCACAACATTGGGATTTCACCCAAATGATGAAATTAAACATTTTGGATCCTTTCTCTATTTTAGAAGTTTGGGGAGTAGCAGCAAACATAGTGCATTAAACTTTGCAGTCTGACATCCCTTCAGATCAGTCTGAATCAGAGCAATGTGGACTTTTTAAAAAAGTTAGTCTGGATACCTTAAGATACTTAAGATACTTATTTAAGATACTTAGGAGGCTTAAGATACTTATTTCACTCTTTAATCTTTTAAACCTCCTTGACCACAGGAAAAAAAAAGTATCAAAATATTTGGCCCCACACAGTCTGGGGAGGCTCTGGGGACAATAAATGGGGTGTTGGGTTGGATTGCATATAGTAGTGGCCACCCATGGTTAAAAGCTCAACATTGGTAGCAGTTATAATGGAAGAGAACCACTAAAACTGAAAACAGCACTTTATATGAGAATATAAATCAACAGGAATTAAATATTAGCAGCAAAATCAATTAAAATAGAAAAAAACATTTAAAAATCAGTGGCTGACAGCATTGGAAGAAGCATACGTTGTCCTGGAGCACCACCTCTCCAAGAAGTTCTCTGGTTAGGATCTTGTATCACAGAGTCGTCACTGTTCAAAACTTCCTCTCTCTATGCTTTCCTGCTAGCCTTGTGTGGTACTGGGGAGATTAGATCCCACTTAGAGTGACATGGAAGATAAGGTTTGCTTTAGAGGTACACACAAGGCCGGTTTAATCTTAGAAAATACAAGTTTTATTTTCTAATGAACAGAATAGCATTTGCTGCTATAAGGCAGGAAATGTTGAAGCAGGCAGAGACTTAAAAAAAGCATATTGTGGGTGGTAAGTAGATTCTAGGTGTGGAATGATTCCTTGAACCACAAAACAACTGCAGTCCTTTTTTATGCATAGTTAAATCCATTTATATGCTTTGTGAATAGTTATGTCTATATAGAAAAAGTACAGAGAAGAGCAACCAGGATGATTAGGGGACTGGAGACTAAAACATATGAAGAACGGTTACAGGAACTGGGCATGGCTAGTCTAGTGAAGAGAAAGACCAGGGGAGATATGATAGCAGTCTTCCAATATTTGAGGGGCTGCCACAGAGACAAAGGAGTCAAGCTATTTTCTAAAGCACCCAAAAGCCAGACAATTAATAATGGATGGAATCTGAACAAGGAGAGATTTAAGCTGGAAATAAGGAGAAACTTTCTGACAGTGAGAACAATCAATCAATGGAACAGCTTGCCCTCGGAAGTTGTGGAAGCACCATCGCTTGAGACTTTCAAGAAGAGATTGGACTCCCATCTGTCAGAAACGGTGTAGGGTCTCCCCCTTGGGCGAGGGGTTGGACTAGATGACCTAAAAGGTCCCTTCCAACTCTGATGATCTCTTATCTGTTATCTATTGGGCATGGATTCTATGACCTACTTTTTCTTTCCTAGAATAGGTAAAATATATCAACATTCTGCATAATGACAATAGCTTCCATTTTTAAAAATTCCTTTTTGTTTGAGAATGCAAAGGCAGTTCGGGAATTATAAAATATTCCAATTTCATAGATAATTATGAAGTTTCCCTGATATAAGAAGATTCAGATTGTCTTTTTCTGACCAGATAAAATAAAAATGAAATTGGGCATGAAGCATACTGTGCAATATCATTGGTTTTACAGCTGACACTTCGGTTTCACCATACCTAAAAAGATGACAATCCCTTGCCTTATGCAAGGGAAATGTAGCTATTGATAGCTGTGATGGATACTAAAAGATATGCAGCAGAAGAGAAAGTTCTAGCCATGCAAAAGTGCAATCAAGGTAGAACAAGAGGTGCTATGTTAATTATTCTACCCTGAAGGATATTTAACTCAATGTGGCATTAATGACAAGAAATGCATCAAATATTTATTTAAGGTTGTACAGTAGACACAGAAAGTTGCAATTCTTTCTTCCAAATATTCTGAAGAACAATTAAGGGGGATAGTCCCCTCCCTGGTGTTTTATGACATCTTCTAACCAAAAGATTAAATTGTTCTAGTTCTGGATATATTTTTATGCTGTTTCTATGTTGGCTAATCCTTCACATTTTTGTGGTTTCAGAACATGATGAAACTGGTTGATAAGAAATAATTTGTTGAATTTACTTTCCAGTAATTAGAATGTAAGTCTGAAAAACAATTCCAGCTTTTCATAAATGTGGAATTACAAACCTCTAGCTTAATGTGGACATGGGTTAAGTATTAAGCCATTTAATTTAAATCAGTTGAGGACTTCTTGGGTCACAGCTGTGCACCATATTTTCCACAGTAATGTGCCAGATATCTCTGGGCCACCACAAATAAGCTGTGAACAATTGTTCTTTGCTGTAGCTTGGACTTCTGTAGCAATGAAGTACCATAATATGCATGCATATTGTTAATATATGAGATGCAAACTCTGCATATATGCAGTTCTGATCAAATTTAGAATTGAAGTAATATATGATTCTGCATTCACTGGTGGATAGAACATACATATCTTGAGGTGCCCATTAGAAATAAATATATATATATATCTGTATGGAACTCAAGACAGTTCCTGTCCACATGGAATTCAACTCTTGTCTATATGGAACTCAACAAACCAGCCCAGTGTAGCAATTTGAATATTGAATTAAATATATAACATAAAAATAGGTTCTAATTCACACTGTTATAAAGTTAAATGGGTCATTTTTGATAACGTTACAAAAATGAAATGGAGCAATGAATCATCTTAGATACAAATGCAATTAATAATCCATCTGCTTGAGGATTTCTGAAACCATTACTACCTGAGTAAGTACAAATTATCTTATCCTTCCTAACTTGCATCCTTCCAAATGTGTGGATGTCAATTCCCAGTCTGCTAAGCCATTGCTCTGAATTCTTGGAGTCGAAGTCCAAACATCAGGAAGGCACCCACGGCTGGCCTATCTTATCTTACAAATAATTCATTCCACATCTGGATATTAAGTCAACCTCAGTTTGGCAAGCATTAAACATTCCAAAACATTCTAAATATTCCCAGCAGGGTCAACAAAGAATTCTCCATAAACCAAGTTAGTTAGAATGTTAGATTTAAATTGAATGGTATTTCATGGAGATGGCTAAGAGTTGTAACATTATATATAAGTAGAAAATGACCTTATGAATGAAGATGATTATATATGTATCCTGGGATAATGTTGCAGAATTCGATCGGGGTCGGTTACCAGGACCAGAGCAAACGACAGCTAATGACTTAAAAGCCAAGCCATCTTCTAAAAATCCACTCACATCAGACACTATAAAGTACCACACACAGCACAGCACAGCACACAGAACTCAGCTAGAAAGAAGTTCCCTGAAGATGGGCTCCAGCACAAGTCCGAAAGCTCAGAAAAATAAAACCTCTGGTCCCAGTGACTGACCCAAATTGGATCCTGCCAAATGACCTTAGCTTAAATTACTTAGGAATCCCTTGGCCTCTCAAGGAAGGAAAATAAAGTGCTACTTAAAGTTTCCTGTAATGCTTACAGTAGGATAACACTGGAATCTCAGAGGAGATCTGTCACAGCTTAGAGTGTTTTCTTACACTTTTGAGTAGTCATGTCTCCTTTACAAAACTACAATTCAAGGGCTGCTCTATGTCTCAGCTAGTGTAATTCAAGGTTTATGGACACAACGGTTAAATTCTAGATTTATCTTTAACTAAATGTAAGTTTACCTCTAAGCACTGGTCCAGTATTTATTAAAGGTGAAACTGTGACTCCCAAGAGAAATGTATCAATGAAAACTCCAACATAAAATTTCCAAAAAATTATTTTTGGAAAAAAAGGTTATTAAATCACATTTTTTGTAGTGCTATTCAAAGCCCATCTCTCTCTCTCTGTATTTTCCAACCTTTTCTTGACTACAGATTCGGTATCACAATATTAATGGCAGAGGTGGGATTCAAAAAATGTTACTACGAGTTCTGTGGGCATGGCTTGGTGGGTGTGACATGGCTGGGTGGGCGTGGCAGGGGAAGGATACTGTAAAAACTCCATTCCCTCCCCACCCCACTAACCTGCTTTCCAGTTCTCCTGTGCAGGGCAACAAAAGAAGACCCAGCTGATCAGCTGGGACTCAAGAGGCAGAGTATAGATGGGGGTCAGTCAGAGGTGGTACTTGCCAGTTCTCTGAACTACTCAAAATTTCCACTACTGGTTCTCCAGAACTGGTCAGAACCTGCGGAATACCCCCTCTGATTAAGGGTTGACTCATATCCCCTAGCTAAATTAACTTATTACAGGTAGTCCTCAACTTACAACAGTTCACTTAGTGATCATTTGAAGTGACTTATGACCATTTTTCACGCTTAGGACTGTTGCAACATCCCCATGGCCACATGATTTACATTCGGATGCTTGACTCCCATTTATGATGGTTGCAGTGCCCTGGGGTCATCTGATCACCTTTTGTAACTTTCTGACAAGCAAAGTCAATGGGGAAGCCATATTCATTTAGTGCCCAGTGTTACTGATTTAGCAACTGCAGTGATTCACTTAACAAATGTGGCAAGAAAAGTCGTAAAATGGGGCAAAACTCACTTAACAAATTTCTCACTTAGCAACAAACATTTTGGGCTCAATTGAGGAATATCGTATCTGTACTGAGGATCCTTTCAAACCCTGAGCTGGCATAGACTATGCCACCCAAGAATTTCTGAAGATGATAAACCAAAGAGGGAAAGCGCAAAGTTGCTATCCTACTGAATCCCCAGAAAAATATGTAATGGCTGATGAACTCATTCATATCTGGAATGTGGTTGGCAAGAAAAACCTTAGATCCATGATCTCCCAGTTCCTAAGCAATGATAAGATACCTCTAGGCATTGATCAAGTAATTAATACTGTGTTTCTCACAAAATAAGGCTGGGCCTTATTTTTTTTTGACCCCTGAAAAATCGGCTAGGCTGTCTTTTTGGGGGGTGACTAAATTCCCCCCCCCTTGCATCCTTGGGCGGGCGGGCGGCGATGGCTTGGATGTTGACTTCGGCGTTGGTGGGGCACTTCATATCAGGAGACCTTCTGCCACCGTTGCTTTCCCTTCTCCCCGTGCTGCCGTGGCGTTTAGAGCAACATTTGGTGCAGCCACACGCGGCCAGCCAGGGCTCCTCCCTGCAACCAGAGCCCGGCAGAGACACTCGGCTTCAGGTGTTCCTGTCGCCGCCTTCCCTTCGCCTTCGAAGGCAAAGCCAATTCTTTTAAAAACGACGCCCTACTACCGGTACGACAAAGCCTTCCCTGCCCGAGAGGGCAATCCAACCCCACATGGGGAGGCGAATCTCCCGGGGCTGCAGCACAGGATCGGCCCACCCCAGGAGAAGCGCCCAGCCGCCATCCCTGCCTGGTGCTGGGCAGAGCGTGAAGAGCTTCTCCTGGGGTGCCCAGCGCAGCTGACAGGCGGGCCCTCTTGCCCTGCGGCGGAGCTCTCGCCAAGGCAGCAAGCGCCTCCCCGCCAGGCCCTCTGCTCATCCTGCCAGGGCCGCGCCAGGGCTGCGCCAGGGCCGTGCCAGAGCCGCGTGGGCTGGGCAGAGCCAGGAAAGCGAGCCGCGGGTGCGCGCCCGCCTGCCAAGCGAAAGAGCCGGCCCAGCCCGAGCTTGGCTTCCTTCCTAAGTCCCTCCAGCCTGAACCCAAAGGGGCCACCGGGAGAGGCCACCCGAGGCAGTGATAACACCCACCCATCCGCAGACAGAGAGGCAAGGCCTACGCCGCGTCCCCCTCTGAGCTGAGCCCCGCCGAGTGAGTGCTTCTGCCTGATGCCCGTGCCGCTGCAGCGTTTGGAGCTGCCGGTGCATTTGGAGATGCATGGGGGTGGGGACGGGCTGGGTGAGGGGTGGAAAGGATGGGCGGCTTCGGGCTCTCTCCGCCGGACCCGCTGGCCAGGGAAGCAGTACTTCCATTGCCTCGCCTCCTTGTCTGCGGATGGGTGGGTGCTATCACTGCCTCGGGAAGCTTCTCCCGGTGGCCCCTTCGGGTTCAGGCTGGAGGGACTTGGGAAGGAAGACAAGCTCGGGTCAGCCCGGCTCTTTCGCTTGGCAGGCAGGTGCACACCCGAGGCTCACTTTCCTGGCTCTGCCCAGCCCGCCCGGCTCTGGCGCGG